GCCAGGGGGGCCTTCTCCCCAGCTCCAGGGGTATGCTCCTGTGCGCGGGGGCGCGCGGGTCACGGCCAGGGGGGCCAGGCGCTGCAGGCTGTGTGTTAGTGGATCCGCGGAGAGGGCGGCCTGCGGTGTTAGGGCATAGCGGCATGCAGCATACAGGCCCGAGGGAGGCGTGCCATGTGGGGGGAGTGGTAGGGGGGCATCCTGGAGGATCGATGGCGAAGGTGCCGATCCTCCTCCGTGGCGGCGCAGGAGTCCTGGATGAGACGTGATGGCGTGGGTGCTTGGCCTTTGCTCGAGCGCATGGTGTGGGTGGACCGATTCCCCGCATCCTCCAGGCCCTGCGGGGGCGGTCTTCAGGCCCAAATTCTGGATTTTGGAAAAAATAAAATCCACCATGAGCGTCGCCCCGGCGCAACCAGCAGGCCCTGGGCCGCGGAAACAAAGAGACAAATAGCCCGTGGACCAAGAAGAGTGCAGGCCTGTTTGGGGGGTAGAAGACGACGCGTCGGGCCAGAAACCCAGGGATCCAGGATTCCAGTCAAAGGCAGGCCTACAGACCGGCCCACTGCACCGCGCACATACGCGAGGCACCATAATGCTGTTGCACTAAAAAGGGAAGCGCGAGCCCAGAGAACCGGCGAGGAAACCAGCTGGGGTGAGGGTGGGGAGCCAAATCTGGCCCATCGACACACGGGTGAGCGTGGCCGCCCAAGGGACAGCGTGGACAGGTGTGCAGGCCCCATAAAGGATGCACGATGGGATCGGCCGGGGCCACCGATTCGGGGGACAAGGAGACCGTCCGGACGGTCCCCGGAGTCCGGAGAAGGAGGTGCGGACCGTGCGCCATAGCTAGCCCATCCACACGTGTCGTGCTATTCCAGAATGGTGGCTCACCGGAGGCGTCTGGCCAAGATGGCGGGGGCAGCGGGGCGGTGTCCCATACGCCCAGAGCCGACAGAAGGTCACGCCTGAGAGAGCAGACTGACGGCTTAGGAGGTGGTGTGGGGAGGCACGGGTGATGGAGGAGGCCCCCTAAGGGCGGGTCCAGGCTGATGACGCCAGCTCAGGACAGACCGGCAGAGCGCCGTGGAGCCATATTCTTCTGTGCGTGCCAGTCCCATCTGTGACAAGCAACCCATGTGGTGCCAGCGCTGGTGGGAGGCATGTGGCCCAGGTATGGAGCGAAACCTGGGGCCCGGCCGGACTGTCAACAGCCGTCACCGCGACTCAGCGGAGACCGAGCAGGAGAGGTAGAGAGGAGCAGGGGAGAATGGCCAGGCAAACACAGGCGCATGAGGGATGGCCCATGGAGGGCAAGCACCTGGAGGCCAGGCCAGAGTGACCAGGTTCCCTGTACCGGGGCGCCCAGAGTGGGTACATGAGGGGGGCAGTGGGGAAGCGATGCACCCGAGGGCTCAGTAGCACATAGCACCCGGCCATCCTCTCCAGGGGCACCGGGGCGCTGCAGCAGAGGATGGCCCGAGCCAGGGCTGTGCCGCCCCGGACCGGAGGCGGCCACTGGCGGGCAGTTCCATGGGGGGATCAGCACGGCGCGGTGCGATGGTACGAATGACACACGGGGCTAGCCTCTTCCCCCAGCACCAGCTCGCCAGACTCAGCACCCAAGGACCGCCGCTGCCCGGGAGGACAGACAGACGAACACCGGGCTGCGGCGTGGGCAGATGACGAGTCCCATCGAGGAAGTGCCCAAACGTAGGCAGGGCGGGTGTCTGGCCATCCAGGGGGGCGTCCGGCCTGGCCCGGCCTGGTCGAGTGTGTATGGCATCGCGGCTAGGCATCTATCGCACCGGTCTGGACGTGATGCACACCCGAATGATAGGGCAAGAGGCCTCGGGTGCGAGCGAGGAGTACCAGGGGAGACAGCTCGGCACGCAGGCCCAGGGGTCCGTTCGCGCTGTGGGGCAGCCGACAGCGGGCAGGGTGCCCAAGCATGACCACTAGCGCCCCGTGTCGATGCGTTTGAAGGGGTAGAAGCCATCAGGGGCATGCGGCTTGGGAGGACCGACGCGCTTGAAGAAGGACGGCAGGGCCTTGTGCACCGGCTCGGGTGCTCCTGCATCGTCGGGGCTGTCGTCATCCAGTGGAGGCGGGGAGGGGGCCCTTGAGCACATGAAGGGGTCTGGGCGTTCGTTTGCATCCGCTGTGCGGGGTGATCGGTGCCCCAGGTGATCGAGGAGGAGACCTCAGCAGGACCCCAGGGAGGAGGGACTGCCGCATCAGGATGCTGGCTGAGATCGGCCATGATCTCTACGGAGGGCGACGTGCCAGGGCTCCACATGGCAGGGGTGAGGGGAGTAGGAGGAGTAGCCCGAGCCTCGTTGGGAGCCGGTTCCGGCAGGGATACTGCAGGGGCGGGGCGGTGCACCGGCCTCTCCACTCGCAGCCCAGCGTACAGGAGGGCCGACAGCCTGTAGTGCCAGAGGATGACCTGCGCCGCCTCCTGCATGAAGCGCGCAAGGTCCACGCCGGCGAACGCGAGTCCGGCCGCAGACAGGTGGTGCAGGACGCCGTCAGCACCGACCACGACGGGGAGGATGTGGGCCGCCCGCCCCTGGAGCACGAGGGGGCGATACTTGGCGGCCTTCAGGGCATAGGACCGCTCCAGCCTCCACGGGACAGTGACCACCAAGTCCCCGAAGCCCCCACCGATGACAAGGTCAGGCTGGAGGTGATCCACTGGGATCGTGGGATTGCGCACAACAGACCCAGCGCGACCGCGGGAGCACGCGAGCAGGGCGTCCAGAATCTTGTCGTGCCGCGCCACGTGAATCCCGTTAATGGCCTTGCACACCAGATGGTGCCTGGGAAGGAAGGGCTGCTTGCAGTGGCAGCACGTGCCCATCGGCCGGCCCCGCTGGTACCTCCCCGCCAAGCAGTCCCCTATGAACAGGACCTGCGTGTTGTCCAGGGGTGCGCAGCCCAGCAATGCGAGCGGCAGGAAGGATCGGAGCGCGGCCGTGTCCTGCAGGCGCTTCTTCCTCAGCTCGCGGAAGACGCCCGCCTTCATGTCCTGGCGCTGCCTGTGCATCTCGTCGTAGTAGTGATGGGGCAGCACCAGTCCGAGGCCGTACTTCGCGCGGGGCGTCAGAGCAAGGGTCTTCGCAAGGGGTTCGGGGATCTCCAGAAGGGTCGCGACCTCCTCCACTATCTGCGCATCGACGTCGGCATAGGGGGACGGGCCCGGGTAGTCGTCAACAAGGGGTCCATAGTTAACTGCAGGGACGACGCAGGCAGACAGGAGCCTGAGGCGGTCGTGGAGTGAGAGACCCGAAGCACGGAGGACGGCGAGATGCTCGTGGAGCCGGCGGGCCGATGTCTGCGCGAGGTTGAAGGAGGAGTGCTTGAGCACGCGGGTGCCCATGAAGGAGATCGCCCCGGCCTGGGTCGAGGAGCACTTCGAGAGCTCGACCGTGAGCCCTATGCGGGAGAGGGCAGACTGCGCGTCACTCTTCACGGTATCTATGGGAATCGCCTCCTCTGACGCAATGACGAGGTCGTCGGCGTATGCAACGACCTTGTACTGGCCGAGGTACGTCTCCACCGGCCAGACAAGGCTCTGGCAGAACATCGCCATGGACAGCGGGTCCCCCTGTGGCACGCCCGCTGGGACCGCGGGGAGGTCCGAGGAGTGCCGAGCCGCGAGGAACGACTCAATGTACGCGACGGTCGGCTGGACCACCCCTGCCCGGCGGAGCGCAAAGAGGATGACGGAATGCGGGACGCTGTTGAAGGCATTCCGCACATCCACCGTGAGCAGGTGGTGTGTCCTCTTCAGCTCCTCGGCCGCGCGGATCGCCTTCATCTGGGCGAGGTGCTCAAAGGCCAGCTGCCACGCCGGGAGCTTGCGGAGCGCGGGAGTCCGACGCAGGAGCAAGCGGTGGAAGGCGACCAGAAGCGTCTCCTGCACTGCGATAGGGCGCCATCGGCCGCCAGACTTGGGCAGAAGCTTCAGCCTGAACTCGCACAGGGGCTGGAGCTGGGCCCAGTTCCTGCTGGAGAAGAGGGTCGTCAGGACAGAGGTGAAGAGCTCCGCAGCCCCGGCGGCCCCACAAAGGTGCAGGAGGTGAGGCTTCCCCAGCCCAGAGGGTCCGGCCGCGACAGGCCTCATCGCCTGCAGCTCCTTCAGCAGCGCCTTGGCCGTTATCTTGGGCGACGGGCCGAGCACGTGATGGACGGGGGGCAGAGAGACAGGCATGGGGCGCGGGTGGAGCTCATGGACAATCGCTTCCCGCTCCTTGCCCTGGGGCTCGGGGACCCTGGCGGCAGAGGACGTCTCGCTCAACAGCGCCTGCCATGCCCGGCCGAGCAGCCCCTTCCGGAGAAGCGACTGCGCCGGGGGGAGCCGTCCAGAGCCCTCCATGCGGCGGCACGTCGAGAGGAAGCGCGCTAGGGCCTCTACAGGAGGAAGGCGCCCCGCCATCTCTGTGAATACGTCAGTGAGGAGGCGAAGCAGCTCAGGGGACGGGCTGCCACTAGGCACCCCGATGCGCTCGGGGACTGTGGCGTCGAGCGGGAGGTAGTGGCCGAGCCTGGCGATATGGGCCTTCAGCCCCCTCTCCGTTTTGTATCGGGCCCGGCACATGCTGCATGCATACGGGAACACAGGGTCCGGCGTTGGCGAGGGAGAGGGCTCGGCGGCTGCAGGTGGAGGGGCAGACCCCGACAGCGGAGAAGGGCTGCGCGACGGAGAAGGTGAACCGGGAGGCGGATGGTGCATCCCGATGTGGACATCGATCGCCGCAGAGTCAGGCAGCACCTCTCCGCAGCGCTCGCAGACAGTCGTACGGCCCCCAGGAGCAGGCAGGTCTGCGCCCCGGGCCTCCTGCTCGTCCGTGATGGACGGGGAGTTGTCGTGGCCCAGGTCGTATGGGAGGCCGTCGTCGGGAATCGGGAGGGGCTCCTGGCCACAGGGCAGAAGGTCGTTCGACAGGCAGGGAGGAGAGGCGTCCCGGGCCACCGAGGCCCCGGAGCCCTGTAAGCCATGGACAGGAGAAGACTCATTGGGAGAGTTGTCCGTGGCGGAACGGCTGTTGCCAGGCCCAGGCTGGGGGGATGGGGGCCCGTGGGAGCCGCAGAGGGGCTCGCAAGAGGAAGGCCGGGCCATGGCGGTCGTCGAGGCATCGTTGCCGTCACCCAGCGTCATAGGATCGGGAGTGCCCCTAGGTAGGGGCCTGTGGGAGTCGGTTGGAGCGTGGTTGGGAGGCTCTGGGCCTGAGGAAGCCCCGATCTCCGTGGTTCCCGAAGGCGCGGAAAGGGCGGAACGCATGGTTTTTTTTTTTTTCAGAGGCGGTTTACTACGTAATATGCGCGCAAGGCGGTAAGGACATTGGAGGGGAGGCAGCCTCACGACGGAGGGGAAGGGCCCGCCCGGGGCGCCCAGCCCCCGTGCCCGCGTGGTCTCGCGGCGGGGGCGCGGCCAGGGGGGCCTTCTCCCCAGCTCCAGGGGTATGCTCCTGTGCGCGGGGGCGCGCGGGTCACGGCCAGGGGGGCCAGGCGCTGCAGGCTGTGTGTTAGTGGATCCGCGGAGAGGGCGGCCTGCGGTGTTAGGGCATAGCGGCATGCAGACATACAGGCCCGAGGGAGGCGTGCCATGTGAGGGGGAGTGGTAGGGGGGCATCCTGGAGGATCGATGGCGAAGGTGCCGATCCTCCTCCGTGGCGGCGCAGGAGTCCTGGATGAGACGTGATGGCGTGGGTGCTTGGCCTTTGCTCGAGCGCATGGTGTGGGTGGACCGATTCCCCGCATCCTCCAGGCCCTGCGGGGGCGGTCTTCAGGCCCAAATTCTGGATTTTGGAAAAAATAAAATCCACCATGAGCGTCGCCCCGGCGCAACCAGCAGGCCCTGGGCCGCGGAAACAAAGAGACAAATAGCCCGTGGACCAAGAAGAGTGCAGGCCTGTTTGGGGGGTAGAAGACGACGCGTCGGGCCAGAAACCCAGGGATCCAGGATTCCAGTCAAAGGCAGGCCTACAGACCGGCCCACTGCACCGCGCACATACGCGAGGCACCATAATGCTGTTGCACTAAAAAGGGAAGCGCGAGCCCAGAGAACCGGCGAGGAAACAGCTTGGGGGTGGAGGGGTTTGGGGAGCCCAAATTCTGGCCCATCGACACACGGGGTGAGCTGTGGCCGGCCCAAGGGGACAGCGTGGACAGGTGTGTGCAGTGCCCCATATAAGGATGCACGATGGGGATCGGCCGGGGCCACCGATTCGGGGGACAAGGGAGACGCGTCCGGACTGTCCCCGGGAGTCCGTGAGAAGGGAGGGTGCGGACCGTGCGCCATAGCTAGCCCATCCACACGTGTCGTGCTATTCCAGAATGGTGGCTCACCGGAGGCGTCTGGCCAAGATGGCGGGGGCAGCGGGGCGGTGGTCCCATACGGCCCAGGAGGCCGACAGAAGGTCACGCCTGAGAGAGCAGACTGACGGCTTAGGAGGTGGTGTGGGGAGGCACGGGTGATGGAGGAGGCCCCCTAAGGGCGGGTCCAGGCTGATGACGCCAGCTCAGGACAGACCGGCAGAGCGCCGTGGAGCCATATTCTTCTGTGCGTGCCAGTCCCATCTGTGACAAGCAACCCATGTGGTGCCAGCGCTGGTGGGAGGCATGTGGCCCAGGTATGGAGCGAAACCTGGGGGCCCGGCCGGGACTGTCAACAGCCGTCACCGCGACTCAGCGGAGACCGAGCAGGAGAGGTAGAGAGGAGCAGGGGAGAATGGGCCAGGCAAACACAGGCGCATGAGGGATGGCCCATTGGAGGGCAAGCACCTGGAGGCCAGGGCCAGAGTGACCAGGTTCCCTGTACCGGGGCGCCCAGAGTGGGTACATGAGGGGGGGCAGTGGGGAAGCGATGCACCCGAGGGCTCAGTAGCACATAGCACCCGGCCATCCTCTCCAGGGGGCACCGGGGCGCTGCAGCAGAGGATGGCCCGAGCCAGGGCTGTGCCGCCCCGGACCGGAGGCGGCCACTGGCGGGCAGTTCCATGGGGGGATCAGCACGGCGCGGTGCGATGGTACGAATGACACACGGGGCTAGCCTCTTCCCCCAGCACCAGCTCGCCAGACTCAGCACCCAAGGACCGCCGCTGCCCGGGAGGACAGACAGACGAACACCGGGCTGCGGCGTGGGCAGATGACGAGTCCCATCGAGGAAGTGCCCAAACGTAGGCAGGGCGGGTGTCTGGCCATCCAGGGGGGCGTCCGGCCTGGCCCGGCCTGGTCGAGTGTGTATGGCATCGCGGCTAGGCATCTATCGCACCGTGTCTGGACGTGATGCACACCCGAATGATAGGGGCAAGAGGCCTCGGGTGCGAGCGAGGAGTACCAGGGGAGACAGCTCGGCACGCAGGCCCAGGGGTCCGTTCGCGCTGTGGGGCAGCCGACAGCGGGCAGGGTGCCCAAGCATGACCACTAGCGCCCCGTGTCGATGCGTTTGAAGGGGTAGAAGCCATCAGGGGCATGCGGCTTGGGAGGACCGACGCGCTTGAAGAAGGACGGCAGGGCCTTGTGCACCGGCTCGGGTGCTCCTGCATCGTCGGGGCTGTCGTCATCCAGTGGAGGCGGGGAGGGGGCCCTTGAGCACATGAAGGGGTCTGGGCGTTCGTTTGCATCCGGCTGTGCGGGGTGATCGGTGCCCCAGGTGATCGAGGAGGAGACCTCAGCAGGACCCCAGGGAGGAGGGACTGCCGCATCAGGATGCTGGCTGAGATCGGCCATGATCTCTACGGAGGGCGACGTGCCAGGGCTCCACATGGCAGGGGTGAGGGGAGTAGGAGGAGTAGCCCGAGCCTCGTTGGGAGCCGGTTCCGGCAGGGATACTGCAGGGGCGGGGCGGTGCACCGGCCTCTCCACTCGCAGCCCAGCGTACAGGAGGGCCGACAGCCTGTAGTGCCAGAGGATGACCTGCGCCGCCTCCTGCATGAAGCGCGCAAGGTCCACGCCGGCGAACGCGAGTCCGGCCGCAGACAGGTGGTGCAGGACGCCGTCAGCACCGACCACGACGGGGAGGATGTGGGCCGCCCGCCCCTGGAGCACGAGGGGGCGATACTTGGCGGCCTTCAGGGCATAGGACCGCTCCAGCCTCCACGGGACAGTGACCACCAAGTCCCCGAAGCCCCCACCGATGACAAGGTCAGGCTGGAGGTGATCCACTGGGATCGTGGGATTGCGCACAACAGACCCAGCGCGACCGCGGGAGCACGCGAGCAGGGCGTCCAGAATCTTGTCGTGCCGCGCCACGTGAATCCCGTTAATGGCCTTGCACACCAGATGGTGCCTGGGAAGGAAGGGCTGCTTGCAGTGGCAGCACGTGCCCATCGGCCGGCCCCGCTGGTACCTCCCCGCCAAGCAGTCCCCTATGAACAGGACCTGCGTGTTGTCCAGGGGTGCGCAGCCCAGCAATGCGAGCGGCAGGAAGGATCGGAGCGCGGCCGTGTCCTGCAGGCGCTTCTTCCTCAGCTCGCGGAAGACGCCCGCCTTCATGTCCTGGCGCTGCCTGTGCATCTCGTCGTAGTAGTGATGGGGCAGCACCAGTCCGAGGCCGTACTTCGCGCGGGGCGTCAGAGCAAGGGTCTTCGCAAGGGGTTCGGGGATCTCCAGAAGGGTCGCGACCTCCTCCACTATCTGCGCATCGACGTCGGCATAGGGGGACGGGCCCGGGTAGTCGTCAACAAGGGGTCCATAGTTAACTGCAGGGACGACGCAGGCAGACAGGAGCCTGAGGCGGTCGTGGAGTGAGAGACCCGAAGCACGGAGGACGGCGAGATGCTCGTGGAGCCGGCGGGCCGATGTCTGCGCGAGGTTGAAGGAGGAGTGCTTGAGCACGCGGGTGCCCATGAAGGAGATCGCCCCGGCCTGGGTCGAGGAGCACTTCGAGAGCTCGACCGTGAGCCCTATGCGGGAGAGGGCAGACTGCGCGTCACTCTTCACGGTATCTATGGGAATCGCCTCCTCTGACGCAATGACGAGGTCGTCGGCGTATGCAACGACCTTGTACTGGCCGAGGTACGTCTCCACCGGCCAGACAAGGCTCTGGCAGAACATCGCCATGGACAGCGGGTCCCCCTGTGGCACGCCCGCTGGGACCGCGGGGAGGTCCGAGGAGTGCCGAGCCGCGAGGAACGACTCAATGTACGCGACGGTCGGCTGGACCACCCCTGCCCGGCGGAGCGCAAAGAGGATGACGGAATGCGGGACGCTGTTGAAGGCATTCCGCACATCCACCGTGAGCAGGTGGTGTGTCCTCTTCAGCTCCTCGGCCGCGCGGATCGCCTTCATCTGGGCGAGGTGCTCAAAGGCCAGCTGCCACGCCGGGAGCTTGCGGAGCGCGGGAGTCCGACGCAGGAGCAAGCGGTGGAAGGCGACCAGAAGCGTCTCCTGCACTGCGATAGGGCGCCATCGGCCGCCAGACTTGGGCAGAAGCTTCAGCCTGAACTCGCACAGGGGCTGGAGCTGGGCCCAGTTCCTGCTGGAGAAGAGGGTCGTCAGGACAGAGGTGAAGAGCTCCGCAGCCCCGGCGGCCCCACAAAGGTGCAGGAGGTGAGGCTTCCCCAGCCCAGAGGGTCCGGCCGCGACAGGCCTCATCGCCTGCAGCTCCTTCAGCAGCGCCTTGGCCGTTATCTTGGGCGACGGGCCGAGCACGTGATGGACGGGGGGCAGAGAGACAGGCATGGGGCGCGGGTGGAGCTCATGGACAATCGCTTCCCGCTCCTTGCCCTGGGGCTCGGGGACCCTGGCGGCAGAGGACGTCTCGCTCAACAGCGCCTGCCATGCCCGGCCGAGCAGCCCCTTCCGGAGAAGCGACTGCGCCGGGGGGAGCCGTCCAGAGCCCTCCATGCGGCGGCACGTCGAGAGGAAGCGCGCTAGGGCCTCTACAGGAGGAAGGCGCCCCGCCATCTCTGTGAATACGTCAGTGAGGAGGCGAAGCAGCTCAGGGGACGGGCTGCCACTAGGCACCCCGATGCGCTCGGGGACTGTGGCGTCGAGCGGGAGGTAGTGGCCGAGCCTGGCGATATGGGCCTTCAGCCCCCTCTCCGTTTTGTATCGGGCCCGGCACATGCTGCATGCATACGGGAACACAGGGTCCGGCGTTGGCGAGGGAGAGGGCTCGGCGGCTGCAGGTGGAGGGGCAGACCCCGACAGCGGAGAAGGGCTGCGCGACGGAGAAGGTGAACCGGGAGGCGGATGGTGCATCCCGATGTGGACATCGATCGCCGCAGAGTCAGGCAGCACCTCTCCGCAGCGCTCGCAGACAGTCGTACGGCCCCC